TGTAGTTCCAGAGAAATGTCATTTATGGCCAACTAGGACAGGCATCTGGGTCCCCACAGTAGGCAAATCACTGTCCTACTGGAACCCTGGAGACTGGTGCAGAGCAGTCAACCTGGCTCCAGGCAAGAGAGGAGACAGAGGAAGGGTATACTTAAATACCTCAGACGGCGCTATTTGCAAAATAGGTCCCCAGACTGTCTGGTGGTACAACCTCTTCCAAAAGCCACCAAATGCAGCTCTAAAAAAAGATGAAATCTGGCCATAGACCCACCTCGGGAGGATTGCGCTTAATAGAAGAGGAGGAAGGGTGGGTGAGCACAGAGGGCAAGATCTGACTGACGAGATATCAGGGAAGGCGTCCTGGAGGAACGGGTGACCGTGCTGAGTGGTGGTCTAAGTGAAAGCAGAGAAGAGAATTCCCAGCACACATGACACATGTAAACACGTCTGCTAAAAACATCACTGAATGTGGAGGAAACCATAGTGTTGAACTTGAGAAGTAGTAGCTGTTAATAAAGTGATAGCTGGCAATAGCTAGCTTCTATTGAATGCCTACCACGTGCCAGACACTTCTAAGAGATTTACATATATTATTATTCATTCTCTCATGCCACAGATACTTACGGAGCATTGTAGGGCTGGCTGCATGATTTGCGGAGGGTTTCCAGTGCACTTGTGACAATGTGAGACCTTGGTCAAAACAAGGGGAAGCTTTTTACTTCCATCTGGTCTCTCTGCTCTCCTCGTGCTATCTTGCTTGATATTGCACAATATCCTTGGGGCATAATAATACTGGCATATACAGATTCAAACACAGAATTCTTAAGAATATCAAGGTGGTGTGATCATTGAGCACTAAGCTTGAAGTATAAGTCCCACCTTGGAGAAGGAGCCTCATGCAACTGTGGGTTGCATGTACTTGAAGCCATCCTTGGAGTGCTATCTCATTTTCAAGTCTACTTCTTTTGTTTTGGTGGTAGGGACAGGGGACAAGGTCTTATGTATCCCAGACTGAACTTGACCTCACTACATAGGTTATTCTAGAACTTCTTACCCACCTGCCTCTACCTCCTGAGCCTGGGATTACAGCAGTGTGCCACCATGCCTACTTTATACGGTGCTGGTGATGGAATCCAGGGTTCTGTGCATGCTGGGTTAGTACTCTTCTGGATGAGCTACACGCTTGATTCTATGGTACAGCAGTGGAAAATTACACTGTCCTGCAGCTTATATCCAAGTGGAGGTAGGAAACGAACACAATGGGAAATTATATGGCACATGCAATGTAATTACTGAGGAAGAAAAATGATGCAGGAAAAGAGTGTAGTGGTATTAAAAAAGGCGCCGTGCATATTCATTGTTGGTTGGTTTTGGTGTTTCAAGACAGGGTTTCTCTGTGTAGTCTTGGCTGTCCCAGAGCTCACTTTGTAGATGAGCCTGGCCTTAAACTCAGAGATTTACCTGCCTCTGCCTCCTGAGTGCTTGAATTAAAGCTGTGTGCCACCATGGCCACCTGAGGATGCCATTTTTAAAAGGTTGGCCAAGAGAAGGCTCATTGAAAAGATGAGGTTTTTTATAATGTCTTTGTTGTTGTTGTTGTTGTACACATTTTTCAAGCACACACATGCCATGGAGTGAGTGCGGAGGTCAAAGGACAGCTTAAGGAATTCAGTTCTCACCTTCGCCATGGATTCTGAGGATCACACTCAGGATGCCAGGCTTTTGCTGAAAGCATTTTTCACCCACTCAGCCATCTTGCTGGCTGTAGAAGATGACTATGAATACATATCTTGTTCTCATTTAAGAATACATCAATTGGTAGGTAAGGCCTCCCAGGACCCCAAGATTGCTTCCTTTGTCCCTTCTGCCTATAGCTCATGGTGTTAACCCACTGGGCTGTCAGCACCAAATTCACGGACAGCTCCTTCCTTGTGCCTTAGTTCGACCAAAACCTAGTCTTTCCTGAGGTTCTACTCAAGATATCCCTGCCTTCCTTGCTCTATTTGCCACAACTTTAGGCACTGGAGTCAGAATCTATCTGGATATTATTCCAGAAGGTGTCTTGAGGTTCATGATTCTAAAAGAAACCAGATTAAACAACATTTTAAAATCCATTAAGTAAATAAACAGACACTCTCTGTCTTCCCACCCCATCTCTGTGGGTTGTATGTATGCATTCTGTGTGTCTGTGTATTTGTATCTGCGTGTGTACAGATTTGGGCCCATGCATGTGGAGGTCAGAGATTCACGGTGAGTGTCTCATCTCCCTCAATTGCTCTTTACCTTATTCATTGTAGACAAGGAGCTCACCTCTTGGGGAAGATTAGTTGGTCAGCAAGCCCCAGAGATCCTCCTGTCTCCATAACCCCGCTGCTGGGATTACAAGTGTGCTTCCATTCCTAGCATTTTTGTGTAGGTTCTAGGGACCAAACTCAGGTTCTCAGGCTTCTGTGAGGCACTTGTGAGAGGCATCGCCCTAGGCCCTAGATAATAGACATTCTAAACTTGAACATATGACTTCCATTTCTTAGGAAATGTTGCATTGTTATCTACAGAGGCAGGTTCTGACATAGTATTTGTGTTTTGCAAACAGTATAACTTTTAAATTTTTCTTTAACAAGTCCCTACAGGATTGGAATTAATGTCTCTTATGGTTTCACTCTCCTTGGCTTTATTTTTCATGTCTCAGGAAAGTGCTTATGTAGCTGGCTCAGCTTTTCACGAATTACCAGGGGATTAAAGACACATTTGGGGAGACCACACAGTTTAAATAATCTCAAGAATATGCAGCTTAAGTAGCTCTGTTCACTTCCCGCCAAAGGCAGGCGTGGGCTAAGGAAGGAGAAGAACGGTAACCATGGCCATGTAGTAGTTTCTGTTTGGTTTGATTTCTTAAAATCTAAGTTACAATGCCAAAATGGCAGAAGCTTAAGTCATGCTGGGCATGATGGCATATGCTTGTTACCTGAGCATTTGGGAGGTAGAGGTTCAAGATTATCCTTAGGTACATAGTAAGTTTAAAGTCAGCCTGATCTGCATGAGACCCTGTCTAAAACAAACAAACAAACAAACAATAAATAGCAATAGTAAACTAAGCAGAAAAAGAGTGCTGCAGGACATTTGTTTGCACTGTGTGAAGATGTGTCTATGTTTTGCTTCACTCTCCTAAGGTACCTGATTGGTTTAATAAAGAGCCGAACAGCCAATAGCTAGGCAGGAGAGAATAGGCAGGACTTCCAGGCCAAGGGAGGAATTTGGGATGAATCTAGGCACAGGGAAGATGCCAGCAAGACAGTGAAGAAGTTGGGCATACAGTACATAGGGAGGTAACTGAGCCATGTGGCAGAATGTAGATTAATAAAAACAGATTAATTGAAGTTATAAGAGCTAATTGGAGGCCAGCCTGGTCTACAAGAGCTAGTTCCAGGACAGCTAGGACTGTTACACAGGGAAAGCCTGTCTCAAAAAACCAAGGAAGAAAAAAAAACCTAAAAAACTAATTGGGAAAAAGCCTAAAGCAAGACCAGGCTTTTATAATTTATAATAAGTCTCTGTGTCGTTATTTGGGAGTGATCTGGCAATTCAAAAGAAAGTCTGACTACAAGAAAGGAAGAAAGAAAAAGAGCCAGGTGATGGTGGTGCACATCTTTAATCCCTTTAAGCACTGAGGAGACAGAGGCAGGTGGATTTCTATGAGTTCAAGGCCCAGTCTGATCTACAAAGCAAGTTCCAGGACAGCCGAGGTTCTGTGGAGAAACTTGTATAACAAAGCGTGTGGGGGGGTGTGTGTGTGTGCTCAAGTTGTCATCAGAACTCCTTAAATTGAGGTCTTTCTTCTCTAAATTTGGTTGACAGTGACTGAGAACAACACTCTAGTACTAGTGTGTGTGGTGGAAAATTCCAGTTGACAACCTCCAAGAATACTCAGCCGACCCCTCTTCTAGCAGGCTGAGAGAAGGAACCAGCATTTTCGGCATAACTTCCCTGTGCCCAAGTCTCCAACAGACACTTTTTGTGTGTTATCTCAAGGCTTCCTCCCAGCAACCCTGGAAAGCAGGAATTACCACCACCATCTCACTAATGGTGTAGCTGAGGCTTGAGAAGGAGTCATACCTTATGACCACTTAGTCTGCAGATAGCAAAGATTCAAACTCAGGTCAGTTTTAACACCAGACCGTGCTGTCTGTAAACTTTGTCTCTAAACCACTGTCTGTAGCTTTGGGAACTCCATTAAAGAAAAGGTGCTGGTGGCATAGCAGAGAGTGCCCCTGGTGCCTGGGTTGCTGGCCCTAGTTGAACATGGAAAGCTCAGGAGCACCCCTGTATTTGTAAGCAGCTGCCTCTCAAAAGTTGAACTAGAGCCAGGTGTGGTGGTACATTCCTATAATCCCAGTACTTAGGAAGCTGAAGCAAGAGGATTGTCACAAGTTTGCCGAGAATCTAGGCCACATAGTGGATGTCACAATGAAGCCTATTATTTTGTATAATTAATCTGTGCTAATAAAATGGCCTGAGAAAAAGCTGACTCGGAAGCACAGACTGAACAAACCTAGGATGGCTGCACTGGAATCACCTGGTAGGCACGCGACAAATGCAAATATTTGGACCCCTGTTCAGTGGGTATGTACCCAGAGCCTAGAAATCTGAACCTTTTGAGATTATTGTTTGTCATTCTGAGGCACTGACAAGTGTGGGAACCTCTGTTTTCAGGAGCCTCTGAGCCCATGGTTTCCTTTTCTGCCTGTTGTTATACACATTTCTCAGAGCCAAAGCACGGTTCTGAAAGAGGAGCCAGCATCCCCTGGAGGCATCTGAGGATGCTTTGGAATTGTTTGGGTCAATGGTTCTCAATCACAGAAGATGCCATGTGTGCCTGGGACACTCTCCAACCCCCAAACACTCAACTCAGTTGAGAATCCTTACACTGGTCCGATGAGGCCAGAGATAAGTTTATGGGGCTAGGAGACACCTGTATGCTCAGCCACTGATGCTAGCCACTGAAGGCGTAAGTCACGAACAAGGCCACACCAGTTTGGAGTTATGATTAATAGGGTGTTATTTATTTAAAGGGGAAAACTTACAGATCACCGTCCCAGACAACAGCCATCTGCACAACCAGGAAGGGAGTCTAGTCTCCGGCGGAGCAGGAAGTGAAGAGAGCGAGCAGAGGAAATAGCCGCTTTTTTAAAGGGAGAGAGACCACGCCCCAATGGGCTGGTATCACAGCAGCTATTGGTTGGAGGGGCAGAAGGACCTCCCGCAACAAGCCACTTCTGTGCTATTACTGAATCCAGAACCTTCTCCACCATCTGGGCACTTCTAGAAACACTTTTCTCTCTAGGGAACCTCCCCTGTGCTGCCTCCCTTACAACAGGGGTTACATGGGGAGACCCTTTGGGCTTTTCTGGAGAGGTGTCTATTATTTCTTCCCCTGGGAGTGTTTTGGGGTTGAAAGAGACCTAGAGCACACTGAGCAGAGGACCAAGATTAAATGGCCCTAGGTACAAAAGTATATTCATATGCTATAAATTGTGGAACCAAGACAATGTCATGTCTTAGTCCCAGTCAATCCTCACTATGGATAAATTCAGGCTTGGTATTATCAAAGGCCATGATTTAAGAGAGAGAGAGGGAGAGCTGGACAAGGTGACACACACCTGTAATCTCATCATTTGGGAGTCTAGGACAGGAGGATTATGGAACAGTTGGGGTTACATAAAGAGACTTGGCCTTGGCTCTAGAGCAGACTGCCTTTCTTGGGAATGTCTGTCAAAGGGTCGGCTGCTGTGTCTTGGTAGCTGCACTCACTCCCGTCTGTCCATTTGGCTGACTAGCAGGACAGTGCTTAGAATGGTCTTTGCTTTGAGACAGAAGTACTGGGGAAAAGCCGGCTCTTACTACCACCAGGCAGATCCTAGTAGATTGCTCTGAAACATCTTTCTAAAATTCTACAGACTGGGTAGACAAAATGGCTCAGAGGGCAAAGGTTCTTGCCTTCAAGCCCAAGAACCTGAGTTTGATCTCCAAGGCCTCACAAGGTGGAAGGAGAGAACTGACTTCCACAAATTGTCTTCTGACTGAAAATGAGGATATGACATCTGGTTATGTAGATATGAGGGAGGGGTCTCTGAAAGAGTCCAGACTGAAGTAGACCATGAAAGGAGAGAAATGGGGGTAGAGCCAAAGAGGAACAGAAGTAGGGGGGGCAAGAGTCAAGAGTAGAGTCAAGAGCCAAGATAGCACATGGGAACCAAAAGTGAGTAACCAAAGTGGCTGAGTTATATAGTGATCAGGAGTTTGGGGAAGAGAAGGGAAGCCCAGCCCCTGGGTTCGGGAGGTTTAGGGCTAAGGGGCAGGTAAGAAGTGCTGGGAGGAGCCAGAGATATCCAGGGAAAATGGGAGAACTGGCCTGGCCAGCACTGATTTGATATGTAAATAGACACCTCAGTTAGCCATTTGTCCCTGGTCTCTTCTGACCCTGACCTCTGTACAGGTGATACAAATAAAAGTAAAAGAATTTCCCTACTGACCTGGCCATGGTGGGATATGCCTTTAATTTCAGCAGAGGCAGGCAGATCTCTGGGTTTCAGGCCAAACCAAACCAAACAAAGAAAAAATAATAATAACTCCACTACTAAAAGCCACTCCGAAATTATTGTAACACAGACTCAAAAGTCATGTGGCCAAGCCAGAACTGGCATGTGAACAAGCCAGAACTGGCAGAATTTGAACAGTAATACCTATTCCTTTCCCTCTTGGATTCCAGATCCCCCCTGGGACAGGGTCATGCCCACTGGCAGGCTTTGTGTGTGACTGGGATGACTTGAAGCTGGCATTGCTCTCTGCTCACCTCCCCCGCCATGGTTCCAGATGAATAAAGCTGTGGGTTTCATCTTCTTGTAAAGGCATTCTCTCCTCCACCATTGCAGAGACTATGCACTACTTTTTGACTTCTGAAACGCCAGTCTTTCCTGGTGCAGAGACAATAGTGGAAGAACAGAGTCGGCCAGCGGGTGAAAATATTCCATTCTGCCTGATAGCTTCTACTGCCAGTGTCCTCTTCTTTCCCACTCTGGAGTGGGTGAGAACTCTGGTATTAAATGCCTTCCTTGAGGAAGAAAGCCTCAACTAGGTGGGTGGTTCTGAAACAAAAATAGAGGTAAAGACCTTCCTGATGGAGAAGAATCCCAGGCAGTCTTGTGGCTCTTCTTGTGTCTTCTAAAGCAGCAGGCGCTGGGTGCACAGATTAGAGGGTTAGGTCCTTTGGTGAAGATGTGTATGTGGTTCACGTTCAGAGTCAGTGGTTCCTGGAAGTACCTGCAACTGCTCTCAAGGACAGGAGAAGAAAAAGAAGAGTTTGGGACTGCACGCAGAGCTTACCTAGACGACTCATGTCTTCCTACTCCACACATGCCAGCCCTGGGGTTTCTCAGAACTGGCAGTGGGGTAAGGCATTAACACATACTTTTTGGAAAAGCTCCTGGTTCCAATTCATTACTCCTTCCTCTCCCACAACACCCTGCTGCTAATCTCAATTGAGAAGCATTGAGGCGAGATTTGCCTAGCCATCTGGGTTACGTTGGGACTGGTGAGGCTGCATGGACAATATACAGGAGGTACAGATGAAAACATAGCCATGAGTTGATTTTAAATAGGCTAGGATGGAGCCGTGCGATGGTGGCGCACGCCTTTAATCCCAGCACTCGGGAGGCAGAGGCAGGCGATTCTCTGTGAGTTCGAGACCAGCCTGGTCTACAGAGCTAGTTCCAAGACAGGCTCCAAAGCCACAGAGAAACCCTGTCTCGAAAAACCATAAATAAATAAATAAATAAATAAATAAATAAATAAATAAATAAATGGGCTAGGATGGGGTTAGACATGTTGATAACTGGCTGAAGGAGACAACACTGGCTCTTCTGCATAACCGACAGCATCACTAAGCTTAGGGAAAGTGTCTAGTTGATTTACTTTGAAATGCAAAAAACTAGACAGTTGGTCAGCTAGGAGACCGTGGACAAATGAGGCTGGGTGAGGTTGTTCACTGGGGTAAAGGCATTTGCTGTCAAGTCTGATGGCCTGAGTTTGATGGTGGAAGGAGAGAACTAATTCCTTCAAGTTAGTTATCCTTCGACCTCTCCACCTGGCTAGTGTGTGTAGATGCATGAGTGTTCACACATACACATAACAAATAGGTAAGTAAATAGATGTAATCTTTAAAAAAATGAAAAACATAGAGCCTAGACAAACTACAAGACCACGGGTTGTTAGGACCCATCCCTGAGGGAACCACATTGGACCTTGAAACTTCATTGTCCTTGGCAAAACTATTGCTTGCATGATATACATATATTTATATCTAAAGAACCCCCTGACTCCATTTTGAAGGCAGGAGCCATTATATTGTCCTGTTAAAAATAAGTTTCTATTTACTGTAAGAGCTGAGTTGCTCGCTGTTTCCTGGAACCTGACCTTCCCCCAACCCATGACCTTGATTTGTTTTTGTGAACACTCTCACCTCCCTGACCCTCCCTGAACTCTCCCTAGTCATGTGGTGACCTCATGATGTTTTTTGGGGGGATTTTTTTTCTGTATTTCTTTATTGCCCTATTGTCTGTCTTCTGTAAACCTGATTTGTAACTACTTAAGATTAACTTCCAAAAAATGGACTGGGGCTGCTCTCTTCAACCTTAATGGACCCTGGAGGCAGCGGCTAGCCAGCTCTTGAGTGTAACTCCCCCCAAAAAATTCAAGCTTGCTTCAAGTTGTGGTAGTGGTTTTATTCTCCCTCTTGGGATTAACATATCAAGCCACTGAAAGGCGAAGATTATCAACCTATTACCCTCTATCCATTTCCTTATTCTTTCAAGTAATCTTTGAGGCTTCTTTCTCAAACAGGAAGTTTCTGGCTCTAGAAGCTTTGTACAGCAAGCAACTTCTGACTGGTCATTATTTGTATCGTCTTAAGGTTGGTTCCAAGGCTCTGCTGATAGTATCTAAGCACTCAACCTATGAAGAGTGACAAAATGTGACTCCTTTTTAATGTATACATTCTTGCTTTTCAAGGTTGTTTGTTTTTGAACTCATTTCTCACAAATATAGTCCTGGCTCGCCTGGAACTCTCCATCTTCTGTCTCGACTTCCCAAGCGCTAAGACTACAAGTGTGTACCACCATCACAGCCTAAATTAGTCATTTTCTTTGTTTATTAGAAGCAGAGCCTCTGCTGGACAGAGGTGCCACATGACTTTAACCCCAGCACTTGGGAGGCAGAGGTGAGAAGATCTCTGAGTTCGGGGCCAGCCTAATCTCTTGAGTGAGTTCCAGGACAGTCAGGGCTATAAAGAGAAACTCTGTCTTGAAAAACTAAACAAAAAGCCAAAGCATCAAACAGGGCCTCATGTATCCCAGGCTGACCTCAAATTCAGTTTATAACTGAGGACGTCCTAGAATGTTTACTGTTCCTGCCTGTGCCGCCTGAATGCTGAGATTCCAGTATGAGAAGAATCAACTCTGTCTTACTTCCTTTTGCCCAGCAGTACTTAACACAGTGCCTGATGTAACAGAGATTGTCATTAAATATTTTGAAGTAAATCAGCTTGCAAGGCCAGGGCCAGCTGGTCTTTCCAGATACTTGACTTTGCTTCTTTGTTTTGGAAAAGGGTTAAGTCCTGGCTGAACTGGAACTCACTATGCGGATCAGGTTGACTTAAGACTCATGGCGATTCCTTCCTCTGCTTCCTGAGTGCTGGATTACAGGAGTATGCCACAATGCAGGGCCATTACTTGACTTTTGAAAAGTTTTATTTTTGTTTATGTGTGTGTGTGTCTGTATGTATGTATATATTTGGATGTGGGGATACCTGAGAAACCCAGAAGAGGGTATAGGATCCCCTGGAGCTGGAGTTACAAGCAGTTGTGAGTTCCCCAGCCTGGGTGCTAGGAACTCAGCTCATACTCTGCAAGAGCACTAATTTCTCTTTGTAACAGCCCAGCTGTCCTGGAACTCACCATGAGTGCTGGGAACTGAACCCAGGTCCTCAGCAAAACAGAAAGTTCTCTTAACCACTGAGCCCTCTCTCCAGCTCCCCTAAGAGCAGTAATTTCTCCTATCTGTTGTGCTATCTCTCCAGTCCTCAATATGTCTTAAAAAAAAATTCCTGAGTTTGGAGCCACACATATTTAATCTCAGTACTTTGGAGGCAGAGGTGAATGGGTCTCGGTTCAAGGCCAGCCTGGTCTACATAGGAAGTTCTAGGCTTAGCCAATAGATGTCCTCTTCCTAGCCTAGACCTGAGATATGATGTAATGTAAATGGTGTTTGATTGGGGGGCTTCACCCCAGCCCCCGGCATCCATTTTTGAATGCTGGTTGGCTAGCTCCAATTCAAAGCTCCCTCCCCTGGGAGTGGCCACAGTCCAGATTCCACTTCCAAGAAAGTCTACCAAACAGTGACCCCCTCCCCAGGGAGGGTCAAGACAACTCCCAAAGGCTGTTTAAACTGCCCCCAAGAGAATGAACACGCAGTCTCTCCTTTTCCCTCTCAGGTGGTCATTCCAGTTCTCCTTTCCCCTTTCTCCCTGTTCCCCCCCCCCCGGGGGGGCCCCGTGTCTTTCCGGGGGCCACGTGGGAGCACTGGCACCCATTAAACCTGGGCATCTTCTAATTCGGTCTGATTTGGTCTGATTGGGATTATTGCGTCAGCAGAGAGATTTGTTGGTCAAAAAACACTTAACAAATGGCACCTCACTTTTGTGTTTTTTACACCGTAGACTCATGGTACCAGATTAGCCACGAGAAAACAAAACAGACAAATCTACACTGAGAGACATCCTGCATTGTTTGACTAATATTTCTCAAAACACTTAGGGTCATCAACTGTTAATCCCACCAACTGAGAACAAGACCACTCCCACAGTTTAAAGCCAAATTTGAAGCAAGCTTTAATTAAATACTAGTCAGGTGGCAGTAGAGGTGGCCGGGCCCTCTAAGACTCAGCATTTACATCTAACCAACTGCACATTGCCCCCACATGGGGGAGGGACTGTAGGTGCTGTGGCACAAATAAACTTGTTACTTCTTGAAAAAAAAAATTCTGTCTCGAAAAATAAAAAATAGAAAAAAAAGGAAAAAAGAAAGGAAGGAAAGAAGGAAGGAAGGAAGGAAGGAAGGAAGGAAGGAAGGAAGGAAGGAAGGAAGGAAGGAAAGAAGGAAGGAAGGAAAACCCATTAGGTACAAGCAGACATCCTGATGGACCTCCAGCCTGTGAACTTCTTGCCCACACGTGACCAAGCAAGTCCAGTGCAGAAGGGTCAAACAAACTTGTTTAGGGGAGTGAAAACTCGTGGCTTGTTATCTCCCATAAACAACAGCCTCCAGCATTTCAGGAACTGTCTGTCCTCGGGCAAGGGGCTCCCAGAGCAGAGGCATTTTTTGTTTCCCTGGATCTCTTAGGCCTAGCAATTAAAATTTAAAGTGTAACTTTGGCTCTCACACAACAAGGAGAGTCTGGAAAACTGTTGACAAGCAAATGAAGTACAGTGTCCTGGATGGGATCCTGGAAAAGAAAAGGGATATTTTCTAGGGAGGGAAAAACTCTTGGGAAAAATCTGTTAGAATGTGGAGTTCAGTTAATACATCATCAATGTTAATTCCTTAATTGTGACAAAAATATCAAAGTAATATATGATGTAAACAGTAGGAAAAACCAAAGAAGAATTACTTGGGAAGTCTGTACTACCTTTGCAGTTTATTTATTTATGCTAATGTGTATTTTTAAAAAGTTATTTTTAGGTGTATGCATTTTCTTTTGCATGCACCACATGCATGCCTGGTATCTAGAGAGGCAAGAAGAGGGTATCAAATCCCCTGAAATTTGGGGTCAAGACACTTGGGGGGAAGCCACCATGTGGGTGCTACAAAGTGAACCCAGGTTCTCTGCAAGAACAACCAGTGCTCTTAACTGTGAAGCCTTCTCTCCAGCCCCTACTTTTGCAATAGAGTCTATAAGGGTCTCACTCTGTAGCACTGGCTGTCCTGGAACTTGCCACGTAGATCAGGCTGGCCTGGAATTTGTTATGTAGACTAGGCTGGCCTGGAATTCAGCCTAACTGCCTTTGCCTCCTGAGTGCTGTGATCAGAGGCATGAGCCACCACACGCAGATTTGCAATTCCTGTTTAAAGAATGTTTTCATAAGTTTTCAAATATTCCAAAATAAAAAGGATGTGGCCATTAAGGTCGTAGCAGAAAGATAGGTTTCAGCCAGTCATGCCTTCTTGCCCCCTGGCTAGTTTTATCATTACTGTTACCGGAGTAACTGGGAGAAA